GTCGTAGCCGCAGTAGTAGTAGTAGTAGTAGTAGTAGTAGTAGTAGCAGTTGTTGTTGTAGTTGTAGTTGTAGTGGTAGTAGTGGTAGTAGTGGTAGTAGTGGTAGTAGTGGTAGTAGTGGTAGCAGTGGTAGCAGTGGTAGTGGTAGTGGTACTGTGGATGGAGGAAATCTTGCACCGCTTTTAAGATATTTTATGTAGCTTCACCCCGCGCCGCCTTCTTAACATTGCTATGAGCACGGGGTTTTTCAAAATCGTTTCCATGACATAAATCTTGCACCACCCCAAGAGATCTGTAGTCAATGTAAAAAGCCGTGTGCGGGGTTGTTGCTTGGATGCGTACCCGAAACAGTGTCTGTAGGTGGTGCAAGATTTCCTCCATCCACCGTAGAAGTATCAGAATCAGAGTTGGTTTTCGTATTAGCACTTGCAGCAGCAGCAGCAGTAGTGGTAGTAGTACTACTAGTAGTAGGCCCCCCCCCTACCAACCACCTCTGCTACAAACCCTCTCAACCGCACATCCGTTTTACTCGGTATACGGTACGTTCGTCGTGTCATACCACTTCGTCTTGCCTCAAAATCCACTCGTGGATTTTGGAAAAATTGGGCTTCGGATTGGGATTAGGGGGGGTGGGGGCGGGGTGGGGGGGTTGGGGGGATGATGTCGACATTCTTACCCAGACACACCGAACAACATTTCAAAAGAGCCGTTTTATTCGGCATTTACAGTACTTTCGTGACGTCGGACCCGTTTACAAAATCACCAAACCTACTTCTGCACTTTGCGGACTCGACTTTTGGGATTTCGGTGGTTTTCGGCGAAAACTCGAACCTGGGTGGGGGGAAGTTTTTTCGGGGGATGATTTCGCGGACACCCCGAACAATATCTCCACAACTAGGGCCAAACAGTACTTCAAAAGCAAAACCTCCTACGCCGAGGTCTGGGCTTTAGGGGTGTTGGCGAGCTCCTCCCACGTACAGCTGGCATCTCTGTTTTTGGTTTTTAAAAGATGTTGCGCTTCAGGTTTTAGGAGTGTTAAACCCTTCTTAATGGCACCTGCGTTTTGCACGGTATTTACAGCGTTGTCGTACTATCCGACCGCCTGTGCTTTAGCAGTTTCTTTCCCGTCGAGTTTGAAACTCCAACTGCTGTCGCAGTTTTGGGGCCTGAGCCTCAGCAACCTCACCGATTGCGAAAGTTGAGGCAAGTGAGCCCCTGCAACTTTTGCAGCTGTCACAGATAGGGAGCCTGACGCCCTGCATCTTCTGCAGCTGCCGCAGTTAGGGAGCCTAGAAGCTGCCACTGCCCAGCCGGATGGCGCCAGTGGTCGGTAGGGGGGGGGGGTGGCTAGTAGTATTAGTAGTAGTAGTAGTAGTTGTTGTTGTTGTTGTTGTTGCAGTAGCAGCAGTCGTCGTCGTACCAGTGCGAGAACTATTCGGTAGCAGGTAGCAGGCACCGGTAGTCGTATTAGCAGTAGCGGTAGCTGTAGCAGCAGCAGCAGGAGGAGGAGGAGGAGGAGTAGTAGTACTAATAATAAGGTATAGTAGTACCTTGTGCCGGGAATTTAGAACAGTTATTTTGCGGAACCGTGTTGGCCATCTTGGTCAAAAGCCAGATTGCGCGCAATCTAAGTCTTGCCCCACTTGCTTGTCGACTAGTTTACCTTT